GCCAAGCTAATAAAATCAAGAACCTTCATCCTATTTTGAGGATTTGGGCAAGGATCATTAATTCTTGGTTGTTTCAATCCCATAAGGCCAAATAGTTCTTCTGACTACATCAACATGGATCAGCAATATATGTTTCACTATATTGCTACTGAGAGGATAATAAACCTGCCTCACTTTCTCTTTTGGTTCTTAAGAGATTTTATAAAGGATTCAAGGAATGGAAGCAGAAAGATGAAATACTGGATTCCCTTTGGCAGACTTATTACAGATATTCTTATGGAGAACCGTCTGATAGACTCTCTAACATATGATGAAAAGTCTCAAGGACTGGTATCTTCTATAGGAAGTTTCCTCAACACTAGGAGTTTGAAGAATATGGACATGATTCCTACTGTTAAGAGCATAGTTGTTGAAATTCCCAAGGAAGAGATGCGCAACAGAAGGATTCCTCTAGAATATTTTCTTATCTTCTCCAACCCAGAGTCGGCGTGTTACAAATATAGAATGGCCAACAATGACTCTACTAATGATGCTTCTTCTGCTCCTAAAGCCATCAAGGAGTTAAGAAATTTTGCCCAAAAGAAAAAGAATAAAGGGACAAGACATCAAGGAGATACAAAAGTTTGCTCAAAAAGGGCTAAGGATGCTAAGGAAACTATGGAGACTTCTTTTGAAGATACCTCTGCTGCTACTACTATTGCTACTAGAAATATTGTTCTTTCTGAAGCAACCTCTGTTGATGCTTCTGTTGCTGCTGGAACTGTTGTTCCTTCTAATGCTCCTTAACTCACTATTGTAAATAATTCATCCATCACCATATCCACTATAACATATTCCATCTTATTCGTTATGGAACCCATTGTTCCCTCTGCTCCCCAAACCACTAATCCAAATCTCAACCTATCTTATGACCTAAAAATCCCAATACCCATACCCTCATATGTTGTTGACCTTCTAACCTTTCCACCTTTTCTCTTAACCCAATCTCAAAGATCTGAACTATCCCAACTTGGAATCTTTCACCCCCAAACTCCCTTTGTAAACCCACAACCACCAAACACCATCCACTCATTTTGATGATGAGTTAGAAACTTAGCTCGTTTTCTACCCAAACAGACCCTATCAACCCTTTTCTAGACAAACACTCTCTCAAATCAACATGCATCCCACTCTCATGGATGTATTATTTGCATAATTTGAAGAGGACGTTGCTGGCAGACTAGATACTCTCATTAAAGCTTTCAAAGGCAATGCAAACTTTTCTAAAGTATGTGATATGACTAATGCTTTCAGAAGATGGATAGAAGCTGGTTCTGAAGAGCTGGAAGTTGCTTTTCTGAAGGAACCTAAGATGAACTTCCATGCCAGACTCTCTAGTATTGTTGAACTTCTACTTCAGAAGGTTCTTGCTACTCTTCTGCTCTTTGCACCAGAAGTGATTTTTCCTCTGCCCCTAATCTAGAATTCATTGGTTCCTGCTAAGACTTCTATTAAACCTGCAATTGTTTTTGGCACCAAGGAGACTTTGGGTTCTGAGGACTACATTTTGAAGAAGTTGAAGCATCTGGCTGCAGAGAACATAGAAGTGAAAGAAAGGACGTTAAATATTGAAGGGCTACTTGCAGAGATTCTATCAAGACTCCCTAAACCCTCTGAACCTTAGTTTTACGAAAACTTTGTGTTATCTTTGTTCTGTTATCTTTCTTTTCTGTAGTCTCCTATCTGTTGAGTGAAATGAATTTTGTTTGGTTTATTTACTTTGTCTTTTCTATTTCTTTTTTACTGATGACAAAGGGGGAGGAAGAGTGTGTATGATTTTGATATATCTAATTCCCATTATGAAAATCCCAACATGTTTCTAACAATTTTTAACTTGGTAATTTTCTGAGAACTTTGAAAAAGTTCATCATTCTGACCAAGTGTTTCAGTTTCTAAAGCTTTGAACTAAGTGTTTAAATTGATCAAAGCTGAATCAGGTGTATTGAAACCAGGCGTATACAAGTTCTAAAACTTGTACTCTGAACAAGTTCAACCACTGATCTATTCTACTAGTTCCGATACTCATGACCTTGCTTTGATACTAGATAGCAGAAAAGCTCTGATACCGGATATCAGAAAGCTCTAATTAATTTTGATCTGATACTCAAATAAGGATTCTGAAAGAATGCTTACCTACCCAAGATGTTGCAATCTAGGATATTACTTCAATCAGTACAACCAGACTTCTGCCTTACGGGAAGATAGTGACCAGACCGCTGTCTGAAGAGAAAGTTGTAACAACCTGGCCTATGCCAAAAGGGAAGTTATTTCTTTCATTCTCATTTAAAATGTTTATATATGTTAAAAGTATTTTAAGTCTTAAACTCAGGGGGGGGGGGGGGGGGGCTTGCAAACCTAACTCTAAAATTCTAAGCTTAAAAATAATTTTTAACAATATAAAATTTAGGGGGGGAGCTTACAAACTTCACTCTGATACTTTTATGTGATTAAACCGTGCAAAAATTGTTTATCAAAATACATGTTTTTGTCATCATCAATACGGGGAAGATTGTGAGAAAAAGTTTTGGTTCTACATCTGACCTTTAGTTTTGATGGTAACAATACATTGTTTCTTAGAGAACAATTTTGTACACAAATGATTTTTTTCTAGTGTGTAACTTTTGCTAAACATGTTATGACTCTGAAGCTCTGATGTTCGGGTCATCGAATTCTGGAAACAACACACTCCGACTCTAAAGAGAAACAAGTGTGTTACAAGATGTTGTCAACTCCTTAAAAGCTCTTAGACAACGGTTCTGAAGAACGTTCGTGCTAAAGCTTCTGATCGTGATTCTAACTGAAGAAGCCTCTGAAGGATTGCTTACCTTCAAGATTTTGCATTCAAGTTGTAGATTTTGAAGAACGGAGTGTTGAAGATTCTGAAGACCAGGTTCTGAGGAACAATGTCAAGACTCTGAAGATTTATGTTCTGAAGACTCTCAACCAGACCCTTGATTCTTCTAAACATGCTTCAAACAACATTCATTCAGAAGCCTCTGAAGAATAGAAGATCAAATCAAATCATTTTACGTAAGATAAAAAGTACATAATACAAGATCAAAACATTTCTTCCACTACGCGGATTTCGTGGAGTAAGGACATTTATGCTGTATGATTTTGTCTTCTACCATTGATGACAGTTATTCAAGGAACCATCTCATTCATGAAGATTCTCATTCTACCCTCCAACGGATCTTTCCTTGTCTATATAAGGAAGACTTGGAAGAATGGAACATGCCACGAATATGTTGTTATTTTGTTGTTATTCGATATAATATTAACACCCTGCTACATTATTTTCTCTGATAATATTATTCTTGTGAATATTGTATAAACACACATAGAGTTTTTATTCGTATTGTGTGGGTAATTCATTGTACTTAATTTTTGTGTTAATTTGCTTACTAGAAGTAATCATTGTAAAGACAACCTGTAAATTTCAAATTTGTTTGAGTGACTAGGGTCTAGTATGTATACTCGAGAAGACAAAGACGTTTGTCTTTGTGGTGTTTGTAATGAATTTGGTTATAGTGGATTAAGTCCTTATTGAGAAGGCAAAATCACCTTAGTAGGGTGGACCGAAGGTAGCTTAGTTAACAGCGAACTGGTATAAAAATAACATGTTATTATTTACTGTTTGTGTATTTGTGTATTGAATTGGTTTTGAAAAAGCTTTGATTTTGAGAAACCCAATTCAAACTTATATTTCTTGTGTTTCTTGCCACCTTCAATTTAGTCGTTTCTATAGACACATTGTTCGGTAATTAATATTCGAGAAGATAACAAACACTAAAGTTGTTGTTTGCAAGTTTGCATGGGAGAAAAAAATTAACTTTTTTTCACCACTAGTACTCGATCCACTTGACCGACTAATTTGATTCAGATGCATGTTCTGTCATCAAGTGGTTATAGCCCCCTTCCGATCGCAGATTCGGAGGATAAGAATTTAATTGAATTGCACTGAGGATAGGAGAATTTTACACAATCAATTAATCATAGACGTTGGATGATGGGAGAAGTTTGATTTTTATTTTAACTCTTATAAAATAATGCAAATGGATGATAGTGATGAATTAACGGTATAAAACTTTTTACACTGTATAGTAATTGATCTCTTAATGATAAATAATTATTTATGACTAATATGTTTTTTTAAAACAAACATTAGATTCAAAGAATTTATTTAAATCTTTCGAAATTTTCTTTCAATATAATTTTTAAATTTCCACATAATAAAAGAACTAAAAATTATATTAAAAGAGATAATTTGAGGGTTTATATAAAATTTTCAAATTTAATCTATATTATTATAACATTTAAAAATTTTAAAAATTAAAAATATATTATTAATAATAATCATTTTTGAGAAACAACACTCACTCAACAAATATAGAAGATTTATCTATTTTTTATATCTCCTCTCCTCTCCTCTCCAAAAAATCCTTCTATTCTCTTTCTTTCCAATTCACAAATATAGCCTAAATATGTTTTGGGTTTCAACATGATTGTAGAACATGCAAACAAATGTTAACCCTGTCTTCAATTCTTATCTTTCACAAACAGATCAATGATATTTCAAGAGACAGGGAAGGAATTCAGATCAAATAGTACAGATAATCAATGCAGAACCATATCTATACACCCTTAAAGGATAATCAAATGAATACCATAAAAAGTGCAGGCTAAAATATATCAAACTTTACAAATAAAACTAGTCTTTCTATGCGTTTTGAGACAAAATAAATATATAAAACTAGTATTTGTAACTTGTAAATTGATATTTAAGACCACAAATACAATCCTACCAGATCAATGAATTCATAACCATAAGTATAACATCACTAGAGGAAGAAACTCGTGTCAACCATTTACATTGATCTTGTCTCCTCTACAGATAAAACATCATCGGCCACGAACCAGGCGCAACAGCATTGCAGATTAGTGTCGTGACTCCATAACAATTACAACATTTCCTTGATAAAATCAAGGTTAAGAGTGTCACGAATAATAAGGTATAACCCAAGAATCAAAACGAGCATAACTCCTGACGACATGATTCGTTGCTCCACTTCTATAGGTAGTTTTCTCCCGCCCCTAGCAGCCTCAACGAGAATCAACGCCAATGTTCCTCCATCCAAAGCAGGCAAAGGAAGAAGGTTTATAATGGCAAGGTTAATATTGAGTATGGCTGCAAATTGATACAGACCATCGATGTTGGACCGCGCAACTTCTGCACCAACCGCAATAATTGCTACAGGGCCCGAAACCTTACTAGCCGTCTGAGAAAAGTTAAAAAATGTCTGCTTTAACCCATCAAGAACATTCGAAGATAAACCCCAAAACTCTTTTGCTGTAAAGATCACAGCTTCAACTACATTTTTCGGTCTAACCTTAGATAACTTAATATTCGGAGCTAACTGAACTCCGATTTTACCGGTTCCATCGAAACTCTCATCCGGTGTTACCCTAATTTCAAAGTCTTGTCCCCCTCTCTTTACCTTAAGCAAAACATATTTCTTGGGACTACTCTTAATGACATCAACAACTTCAGAAACAGAATTAGGACCAGGTCTAAGAAACTCATTTCCATTAACTTCAAGGATCACGTCACCCGAAAGCAATCCATCTCGGGATGCGGCCGAAAAGGGCCGAACCTCGGGGACATTGACACCAGGAAATACTTCTTGAACAGGCAAACCAACAGCAAGGATTTGAACAAATATAATGACTAATGCAAAAACAACATTTGCAATAACACCAGCAGAAACCACAATGATTCTATCTAAGATTGGTCTATTCTTAAGCAAATTTTCATCATCAACAGGAATATCACTATCTGGATCATTATCAGGGAACCCTACAAATCCACCAAGTGGAAAAGCTCTAATTGAATATTCAACGTTTTTTGCATTAAACTTGGCTAAAATTGGACCAAACCCAACAGCAAATTTACTCACATGAATCCCTTGAAGAGAAGCAGCAAGGAAGTGACCACTTTCATGAACAACAATGATAGCTGTCAACACAGCAACGGCCTCAAGCACAGACTGAGGACCTTCAAAGCTTCCATAATCAAATCCACCAATAGCAGAGGTTCTAAAATCAACAACCCTATTTCTGTTATGATGCAAAAACTGCTTCTTGGTGGTAAGTTTCACGTTTGGGGAAGTGAATGAAGGAGAAAGAAGTGATTTTGAGAAATGGGTTTTGAACTTTAATGAAGATTCTAAAATGGGTCTCTTTGAATTGGATAATTGAATGATGGAAGTTGAATGAGAAGGTGGAGAGGGAGAGAGGTATATGACCATGGTTTTGGAGGAATTGAAGTGGTGGTAATAAGGTTGAAAAAACTTGGTGGTGGTGTGTGTGACTGTGAGAAGTGTACATAAAGTGGGTTTGGATAATTCATTTTGTTTTATTTTCGGTTAATGGTTTTTCTCTTGTTTGGGAATTGTGGAGGAGGAGTGAGAGACATGTCTTCCTCTTATTTTCCACAAGTTGTTTTGTTTGTCACGTTTTGATAATCGTTTATTTGGGTTGAAACAATTAAAAGCAAAGCCCATGGGTCTATGGAGTAGTTTATTTGGAGAATTTGAGGTTGCCACCTTTAAAATTTAAAACCGCACCCTCAACTTTTCCTGTAAAAAATTCGGTAGGTCAACTAAAAATACTGTAAGCAATCAAAAAATCTGGTAAACAATTAAAAAAAATAGGTATATGTTTTTACCAATTTTTCCAAAAAAAAACTGTCGCGTGCTAAAATTTATGTCTTTTTAAAAAATAACAGGATTTTCTTTATAATCGTAAAATTTTTGATAGTGTTAATTTATTGTTTTTTTCAAAAATCTTCAGAGATTATTGGTTTTTTAGAAAAGTATCAAAGATTATCGAATTTTTCTTATACCCCTGAAAAATTCGATAGTGTTAATTTTTAACGGTAGGATTTTGTCGACACTTTTGTAGGGTTGCGATTGCACCAAAAAGTTTGTGTGGTCAATAATGATTCAAAACTTGTATAAATATGCATTGACAGTTAAGAAATTTTCTCAGAATGTCTCAAAATTGGTATCTTGCGTTTGTGTATTTCAACAGCGTGAAATCTTTAATTGATTTTAGGTTCGCAGAGGACACCCCTCTTGACGTTCTGAAATCCAAACAGGATAATCCATGTGCATCATAGTGACAACATAAAGGTGGTTAAGATCGAGTATCGTTCACCATCAAGTGATAATGGAGAAAAAATTAGGTTCAGTATGTTTGAACTGAAGACAAATGAAAATTTAAAAGTCAAGTGGAGCACATATCGCTGATACGAAACAAAGGGTTTGATCGAGGTGGATACAACAATTGTCAAATTTGTCGACGATATTATCAAGATATTGAAACGTCTTGAACCAGCTAGTATTGTTTAGGTGCTAGTATTGTTTAGGTTTTATTCATTTTATTTTTTGTTAAGTTATGTTAAGTAATGTAATGCTAATTTTCGTCTAATGAAATATTAAAATAAGATAAGATAAGATGTCAATAATATACAAATAATGTCAGCAAAATCAAAAAATAAATAAACTAATAAAATTTACTCAAGTCTACCACGGGTAATGTGTGATATCTGAGACAACCTGACATACATCTCACCATTTGGGCTTGCCAAATCCATGAGGTTATTTGAAATAACTGTTATCCTCGGTAGTCTTTGTTAGTCAGTCATACCAGGTGGAGGCGGTGACACGTCATCTAAAGGTCCTCCATCATGAGAAGGTTTAGCATCATCAACAGGTTGAGTAAGTGGGATAATGTGAGAGTGTGATATTGTAACGTACCACTCTAAGTAACCATCCTCACACTGCCTAGAGAATTGTACATCCATTGCATTATCTCTAGTAGCAATGGCACTATTGATAATGTTAGTCACAAACCATCTATCAATGCCCTCATATGGCATAACGGGGACTTGTCGATGGATGCCCTGAACATACCCTAACCGGCGTAGAAACCTCTTAGGTAAATATCTAGCCGGTGAACTCTCCCATCACAGATAACCCAAAATAGGGTAGTATCATCAAAGTCCTGATGCACTTTATGCTCTACATAAGGTGTCCATATGATATCATCTACGATCAGTGCATCGGTCCTCCGTCTAAAATCCTAAAGACCTCCTGGATATGAATGTATGACCCTCCATCTAGTAGCTTAAGAGGAGCCAGAGATAGGAACACAAAAACGCTTGTCCCAGATGGACGAGGAATGCTCGCGTATCCAACACTACACAAAAAGAAGAAAATACATATACAAAATTTATTTGATAATTAAGATCTAAATAAATAAAACATAATAAATATTCATACCAGAAATAGACTCATATAACCAGCAAGGTGCCTCATCTCAAAGACAGTGTCTCTCCAAGGGCATTATCGTCAATAATACATGCAAGATCCTAGTTAATGAGAGGGGATGTGAAGAATTTACCTGTAAGGGGGAGGTGTAACACCCCCTTTCTATACCCCCAAAATAAACAATTAAATCATTTAGGCACAAATTCAAAATTTCATCAGAGTACATTTGCAACGTGGCATAAAAGGAAAATATCACATTATCATAAAAATTCCAACATATACAACACCTGCTCAAACGGATATGCAACAATAGGGTAGCACCCACAAGAAATATTTAGAACAAGGCGGAAATATCCAAATATTCCATAATTCTCCAAAACATGTGTTCACATATACAGTTATCATTCATCATGCTTACAAATATATCATCAGCAGATACATACACAGATGTATCACACAAAAAAAATCAAAATAATTCCTATCTACCCGGTGCTACATATCAGAGCCGACCGACCAAAAAGAAAAGAAGTCATGCTTCACAAAAATACCTCCAGCAATCTAATCTGCAATGCCTCATAGAGCATTAAAAGAAACAACAGAAGGGTGAGAAACGATATCATAATAACAATGCATATAAACATATATATACATAATGTCTAATATACGTCTTTCGCATTCTCACCGCAACTCACCTCGTCATACCGTACATCACAATGTATTCACATTATCTATTTACAAATAGAACACCATGCATATACAATATGCGTCAACAATGTTTATATCAGTTCATAAACACACAAAACATACATATACATATATTCACACATACATGTGTCTTCAAGCATACCAATCATGCCAATCATCAACAATCCATATAAACATTTACAATTATGTTTATTAACCATACACCATGCAAGATGTCAACATGCAACTCATAGAGACCGACACACGACTCTATGCAGATGCAAATGCGGTACCGACTCATTTCAGCAGGTTCAATTGAAGAACCAAATAACCATCGCTCACACCCCACATGGGCACACGAGGTTCTGCAGATTCTACGCGGAATCAAAATAACCATCGCAACATACGAGGTTCTGCAGATCCACCGAGGGATCAATAATTAACCATCGCTCACACCCCACAAGGGCACACGAGGTTCTGCAGATTCACCGAGGAATCAATCGACACAAGAATGCATACCATGATGCTTCACATGCAACATGACTCATGACACTCTTGAAATGCACACATGCTTACAACATACTCATGCATTCTACACATTCATCGCATATATTCATACAAACATCATAGATTTTTAATCAAGCTAAACGATGCACATAATTGCCCAAACGGCCACAATTCACAACCTAGGATTCACGCCATACGGCTACCCACAGCACATCACAAACCAGCATATATGCTATTAAATCAAAGAAGGGTCAATCGCAACCGAAACCCCAAGCCACGACAGCACCACGCAACAGGGAAAATTCATCCTGCTACGTTTGCTACACGCTCGCCTAGCGAGCTGCTAGCGAGCGTTCGCTACCTCCTCGCCTAGCAAACTGCTAGCGAGCAAGAACAGAGGCTACAGACCTCGTTCGCTATCCCATTCGCCACAGCGAACCTCCAGCGAGCTCCTCGCTACTCCCTTCGCTGCCAGCGAGGGACATCAGGATCTCACTGTCCCAAGTCTGGGACCGTTCACTGCACGCTCGCCTAGCGAGCTGCTAGCGAGCGTTCGCTGCGTTCTCGCCTAGCGAGTCGCCTGCGAACAGCAACATTCAGTTCTGCTCCAGCACCTCCAAACTCACCAAAATCACCCGATTAAATCCAAAGTTGTTCCAGTAGCCTTAGTCTAACATATATCGTCTAACCTACATCATCTAATCACGATTCTAACCGTTAAACAACGATTCCTTTCAATTAAACCAAATTCAATCTAAAATGGAAAGTGTAGAAAAACTACCAACAATCCAAAACAATCCAACAAAATCATACATGATTATACACATTGATAGAATAATAAAGTTTCACACCCTTACCCGATCAATCGAAAGCTTTGGTGATGATTTCTTAAAGTTCTAGGTTTTCCTCTTCTTTTTTCTTCACTTCCTCTTTCTTTCTCTTCTTTTTTTTTTCTTTCTATCTCACTATATTTTCTCTTTTCCTCTCTTATCTCATAATTCTATTTCCTTCCTCTCAAATTCTTTCCACTCACTAATCAATCAATTCTCATAAAATTATCCACTTAACATAATTACTAATGCCCAAAATACCCTCCGGCCTATTTTACTCAAAAACTCTCCAAACAGGTAAAAAAAATAGCATAACATACCAATATAACATATTAACACATAATTTCCACGTTAAAATAAATAATTATCCAATTAAATCAAAAAGGACTCAATAAAATGGGAATCAGAATCGGGGTGTTACAACTCTCCCCCACTTAGGAATTTTCGTCCTCGAAAATATTACCTGATTCGAACAGCTCAGGATGCGACTCACGCATCTTACTCTCCAATTCCCAAGTCATATTGCCTTCCGCAGCACCTCCCCATGCTACTTTTACAATCGAAATATCCTTGCCTCTCAGGTTCTTAACTTCGCGGTCCAAAATCATAACCGGTAAAACCTCAACCGTAAGATTATCTCTTACCTCTACCTCATCCATAGGAATCACATGTGACGGATCTGGAACATACTTCCGAAGTTGCGAAACATGGAACACATCATGCAAATTCGAAAGATTCGGAGGCAACACCACACGATAAGCCACCGCACCAACTCGTGCAATAATTTGATACGGACCAATAAAACGAGAAGTCAACTTCTTCGACTTCAAAGCACGACCCACACCCGTAACCGGTGTAACTCTCAAAAACACATGGTCACCTTCTTGAAATTCAAGATCCTTCCTTCTCTTGTCATGATAACTCTTTTGCCTATTCTGAGAAGCTTTCATCTTC